GCCCCGCTCCGCCCAGGAGCCGCCGCGCCGCCGCCCGCCGCCCGATCGCCCCTCCGGTGGGGACGAGAAGGACTTAAAACGCCAGGGACTATATTTTCTCAGAGTGCGCGCCTTGATTTCACTTTGCCTCGGGAAAAGTTGTGCCTCGGCTGTCAATGCTAATGCCGAGGTGCCCGGATGGAGGGAGGAGGAGGAGAAGGGGAAGAGGAGAGAGGGCTCTGGGCTGGCGCATGCGCGCTGCGGCTGTGGACGAGAGAACAACAAAGTGCTGAGCAGCGGGAGCAACTCCGGGGCTTCAGGGGACCTTCGCTCCCCGCCGCCGTGTGTGTGCCAAGTCTGGGGCTGCCCTGCTCTGGGAGGGAGAGACCTCCCCCCACACACCCCTCAACTTCCCCCTGCCTCAGAAATGCCCCACTCAGGCGGAAGAGGAGGGTAAGGTTGCCAACCCACCAGGAGGAGTCTCCAGGAATTAGGTAGAAATCTCCAGGAGACTGCTGAGAGTTACTGGAGAGAGAAATGATAGGGCATTCATTGAAATCAATATTAAATGCTGAAACCGATTTGTATAGTAGTCCAGTGAGGTTTTTTTTAATGTAATAGTCACGTGAATTTGCCTTCGGGACATAAAGTCTACATGCCGTAATCCATGATACACACGAGCACGCGGGCATGTTCACATAGCGTGTCGTGGGTATGCTGGTGTTCTGGAAACATCCCAGAATAGAGTCAAATTGAGTTGGCAACCCTGGAGAAGGGGCTGGGTGCCCAGCCCAGCTGGTGTCCTCTCACACTGACTTCCATGCCCCCCTGTGTGAGGGAAGTTTAGGATGGATATTAGAAACAACTTTCTCAGGAGAGGGGTGGCGAAGCACAGGAACAGGTTACCCAGAGAGATTATGGCATCTCCATCCTTGGAGGTTTTTAAGACCTGGCAGGACAGAAGCTTGGGTGAGATAATCTAGTTGGGGATGGTCCTGCGTTGAGGGGTTCGGACTAGATCTGCATTTCTCAACCTATGGGTCACAGCCCAAAAGTGGGTCACAAAAATATATGGAAGGGTCGCAAACAGACTTTAAACATGGATCATCAAACTTTAAAAATGGATTCTCCTTTATAGGAGAAAAATGGGGAAACCATGGTTTTTTCCTTTCAGGCTCGCAGAGTTCCAGCCTGCCGGGGCTGCTTGGGGACCTCCCATGCCCCACAACCCCTCCCCCCACCCCACACACCCACCCACCTCCTGTCCCACACGCTGGGGGGCTGGGGCCTGGAGGTCAGGGGAAGCGGGTCAGGAGTGAGGGATACTGGATCAGGACTGGTCATCAATGTTTACAGATGGGTCCTGGTACAAAAAAGATTGAGAACCACTGGACTAGATGACCTCCCAAGGCCCCTTCCAGCCCTCCTTTTCTATGATTCTCTGCCTTCGTTTTCCACCCTACTCTCTTGTCTTCCCCACTATTTCATTTCTCCAACACTTTCTTCCTCACCTCTTTCTGGTCTCTGGAATTTATCCTTCAAAATAATTTAGCTGCCTGCCTCTCTCAGGCTAGAACAGTGGTGGGCAATTATTTTGGGTGGAGGGCTGCTTACTGAGTTTTGGCAAGCCATTGAGGGCTGCATGACAGGCAGCCAGGGGCAGGTAACTATTAATTTTCTAAATTTTTAGGGACTCCGCGGGCCGGATAGAATGGCCTGGCGGGCGGCATGCGGCCCACAGGCTGCAGTTTGCCCACCCCTGGGCTAGAAACTGACCTCTTAGGTGCCTCATGAATGAAATGTTGGCAGTTTACCCCCCCCCCCCACACACACACACAGTAATCAGGGGTTAAGGTTGAGAAGGTCTCTGTCCATTCCTTGAGAGTTAAAACACTGAACAACAGTAGCCAAGACATGCACAGCTTAACACTGAATGTTCAGGCAAGGTTCCCACACATGAAAAAAATAAAATCAGAGTGCATAGAAATACATACTAACTCCTCAAACCAAGCAATCTTAATTATAACTGTTTGCTATTGCCCTGAAAGCAATGAGGAACTTGATGTACACAAAAAATTTGCACTGGTTTAAAATGAGGTGTGGGGTTTTGCTGATTTGCGCAACTTGGTGCATGAACGCCCTTGTGGTTTGACTAACCTTAATAGAGATGAGACTGAATCAACAGTAGGACTGTGTACACAGGTAGCTGTGCCAGTTTAATTACATCAGGGCAACATCACACCTTTCTTTAAACCAGTGTGATGCCTGTACTTGAGCAAACCTCCATGACAGTGGAATCTGCAAACAGTGCTCAGAATAATTTTATATGTATCAAAATTAAGATCAAATCTTAATTAAGTGGTCAGACACTACAATGATGAGGACAAGTATCTTGTAAGATTGTTTCATTCAAACGCTAATTGCATTCTGCTCTTTAATTGGAAACTCACTGAAGGTGTACAGTAACCAGCAGGTTGTGTTTAGAACCCCACCATTCTCCAAATATAGTTATACATTAATTTCCAACTATATATATTCCTTTTACAAATTAAAGACATTAGACATACTCTGGTTGCCTTTTACAACCAGGTATCTATTGGATAGGAGGCTACCACCAACCTAAATCACCTAAATTTACAGTGGTGAAGTCAGTGGTCCTCAATTGGTGTCTCATGGATGCAAGCCTATAATGTTGCTTATGGTCATAAAAAATTCACTTTCCATAAATTAAAAAGGCTTGTTTTAATCCTTAAAATGGTAAACACTGTTCCTGACATTTTTTAAATCGCTTACTTGAGTTACAAATGACATATTCTGTATTATAATTAACTATTAAAAATTCTAAATTGCTTTTCACTATTTTTCCCCTTTTTGCACATTCAAAGTTGAATGATGAAAATCCACTAGCAAGTTTCACTTCTCTTTAAAGAGCATTTCCTATCAATTTCACTTTCTCTAGCTCTTGCTTTAAATCACTGTCCTGTCTCTGTGTTTGAATTGTAAACATTGCATAGGAATGTTAAAATCCACACAAATGAAATATATTGTTTTGGGGTTTTTTTAAATACAGGCTCTACGTGACAATACTATAGCAATACTGCGTTTCAAAAATATTTTTTTAGGCAAATCTATTTTATTGAGCCTCAATTACTAACTGATTTCTTTTTAAGTAATTATTTTTAAATAGCAACTCTGTTTATTAGGCATTTTGGTATATAAATACTAAACAGAAACATTAAAATACTTTATCATATATGGACTTAATTTCAACAACCTTAATCACACAAGTAAGGAGTAAGAAGCAAATCCTGTAAATATTTATGGATGTGAAAACCTTTGTCTATGTGAGTCAGTGTGTCCATTCCTAGAAGTAAAATTATCTGTGTGTACAGGCATTTGCAAGATCACACCTCAACATCAATAAGGGTTTGCAGGATTGTTCCCATATAC